GGTCACCCCAATTATTAATGACATTTCAAAAACGTACCAATAGATGGCCCACCCTTTATATACCTATTATAAAATTTTATAAAATTTTATTTTTATATATGAACTGTATAATTATTTCTTATCCCTCAAATAGAAATAAAATATTTTCAGTGGGATTGATACGTTTTCTTTTAATAAAATAAGCGTACTTTTTTTATTAAATATATACAACATAATTATTTATAACGTAACTTAAAACAATATATTTTTATACATAATCTGTTTTTCACCTTATTTGACTTTATATTATGCCAAGTACTAATTTCGATAAAAAGTATATTTCAACACTGTTTCGTTTAAAATAATTATATAACAACAATGTTAAATACAAAATTTATATATATTCGCCAGTCTTTAAATTGATAAAATGTGATCTATTTTTTTAAATAAATATAATAATGTAAACTTCTTCATTTATCTTCTACGGATGTATACAATACATGTGTGCTACATATATGCGCAAATGTAGTGCGTATAGTAAAAATTTATTAACTTGTAAAGATCAAAGCTAATACATTACATATAGAAACTCAATGAATTATTCTTTAAACGTCTGTAAGCCATATACGATTTTTTTAATATATTAAATCAAGAGGAACCATTAATATTAACTTGTTAAAGAAATGAATTAGAAATTATTTTTTAAATCTATCATTCTATGTGACAATTATAATAATATCTAAGAAAAAACAAGAAAGCTACTAACAACGTTTTTTTGAACAAACAATACTTATGATATTTGTTTTCATTTAGTAAAAATTATATAAACGTTTCAATATTTCGATATCGAGTCATCTTCGGTATGTTGTTAACAATTTTAAATTATTAATTACATCTATTACAGAGCGTCAAAATTTGAAATACGTACGTTGGTTGCAAATAAAACGCATATACGTATCGTTATGTTATTATTAATTACATTATTAATAACATTAATTATAATTAAAAATTAAACCTGTGTACTACGATCATCTGAAGTCTCTTGAATTAGAAGTATAGTTGTGCTTAGTTAATAGCAGAAATGACACAAGGAATTGACTGTAGAAAAATATTATTACTTATACTTATGCTAGGAAGTGTGGTGGGGCAATCATTAGAAGGAGGGGAGTTGGAATCAACAATTTAAAAAGGGGTTTTATATTATGTTTTATATTATGTTTTAGATACAGTTTGTTAATAATTTACATCCTATTATGAAAAATATAATAATAAATTGTTTTCTGTTCTGCATACTTTAATAATTGATTTTATGTAACAATCTTCCTAATAATTCCGTTATCTTAAAAAATGTAATTTTATAATATAAAAAGTAAAAATATGTATAATAAATTAATACAAGACTAAGAAGAATCAGCGGGAGGGGTTAATTTGAAATGAACTTAACTCCAATTGTTCTGCTATGTTTTTTTTGTTCATAAATCTTGGACGTTTCAACTCTCTTTAGAGTCTTCATCAGTAAGTTTTTATTAAATATAAAATTTGACTTAATATAAAAGTAAATAATTTTCTATAATGGAAACGTATATACACAATCGGAAAAAATGTCGAATTTAACAGAAACCGCATATCGCAAACGATCCACTTAAATTTTTGAATTAATTTTACACAAGATGAATATGTTAGAAGGTAACGCAAATATTATGTAAGAGAATAAATACAAAGAAAGATAATATCGATACAGTTTAAAGAAACCGTGGGGACATTTCTTTTCTCCAAAAAATTAACATTTATGATACGTTAAATTAACACATATTTTATTCATTTATCTTAGAATTTTAAAACACATCATTTTTATGTTATTTACTTGTTCACTTACTCATAAATTGTATTATTTTGACACTAAGAAACGTTGAATATCAATTTTACAAAAAACCTTTAAATAACATAATCACATTATGTTAAATTAACATTTAAATATGTTAAAAAATGTAGCACAAACTATTAACATAGAACGTGAGTGGATCTTTTTTTATCAGAAATACATTTTTTTACTATGTATACATGTCAAAATATATTTTTAATCCCTATTCTATATTTAATATACTGTTATGCCTTAGTCGGTACAGGATTCGGGATCCATGGGAACTCGGAATAAATTAAATCTTTTTTAAACATTTAATAAACTTTAATTAACTTCAACTCTTGTTAGAATTATTCTTACAGCAAAAACATAATACTTTTAATTACTCACAAACCGCTGACAACCACCACAGGTAATTGTGTTATGTGAATTAATCGAGTGACCTGCTCCTGTATCTTTCCTGTCGGTTTTTATCCTCATGTCCTTGCTTTGTCAATACATGATCGTCAGCATTCCATGATTACAATTACTTTTTTACAATTAAAATCTCCATACCGAGCGCGTAATCGGGTTATGTCCTTATTATTTATGTTTACATTTTATCATAATATGTATCTTGAAGTTTTATTTCTACATTTTTTATTATTGCTATTTCTTAATAATATTCTTTTATGATCTTATTCTTAGTTGTGTAATTGCATTCGTGGCATCATATGTAGGTATATGTATTAAGGCGCCTCCAGACAATATGGCCAACATATGTCAACATCACATTACAAATATCATATATATATGTAATATACATAATTATCCATATTGAATGTAGGTCAATATTTAACGAATGCTATATAAAGTTGACAGTACATTAGCCATATCGTTTGGAGATGAGAGATCTTAATATAAATATTATATCGTAATATAATCGGTAAATAAATTTAACATTATACTAGAGTATAACCTATAGTAATTAACTTAAGGATTTTAAGATATATTATTAGATTAATTAAAATAAACTATTGTATATATATATATATATATATATATTAGGTTATTCGGAAAGTAATTTCGTTTTTTCTTATGAAAATGAAAGATGATTTTCAATCAGACGCATTTCAAATGATCATGAATGGTCGAATTCGATAAATTTAATCTCTCAGCGATCTCACGAGTTGTTATTCGCCGGTTTCCATCAATTAATGCCTTTATTGTGTCTTCATCAGCTTCAACTGGCCTTCCAGAACGTGGTGCATCTTCAACATCAAAATTGTCGGATCGAAATTTTGCAAACCAGTTTTGGCACTGGCCTTCTGTCAATACATCTTCTCCATACACATCGGATAATTTTTTCTTGCTTGAACAGCATTTTTACCTTTTCGAAAGTAAAAAAGTAAAATATGCCGAAAATGCTGCTTTTCATTTTCCATATTTGATAGGGCACCAACCAAAAACTACTGCATAGAATCAATCGAACTTTTTTCACAAGCAAGCCTTGCTATATCAGCTGTCAAAATATATAATGATTATGCGGCTTAAGTGTGAAGTTGGCTGTGAAAAAATACAATAAGTCTTCTGTTGGGAAAAAACGAAATTACTTTCCGAACAACCCAATATATTTACACATAAATTAAGTATACTGATCATAAATAAAATTGACATAAAAAATTAATTTTTCTTCCGCTTGTTATTTTTTATTCGAAATATGAACTAATCAAAAATTATTTATATGGTTGTTTCTTTAAATTTAATTTCAAAAAGTTTAATACATTTCCTTCTATTTCTCTCAGCCTCCATTGTAAATTTGAGTCTATCATAGAAAATAATAATCAGTTCATCTAAACAAGAATTCGGAGCGGCTAATGCAATATCATCTGACGTAGAAAAGTGTGTTTAAGATAATTTATTTGTTGTCATTATAATTCTTTATATGTAAAATTCTGTATATATTAATATTTTTGATAGTTTGGCTAGTGTATGGAAATAGAAAAAGCAAATTAAAGCTACATCATGACGCCCATATTTACGTTTATGCGAGAAATAACTCAACGATAAATAATAAATGATTTAGTTTATATCGTAGTTATTTGGTTTGTATGAAAGTGGTACGTGCTCACGACGGGTATATATTACGTTGGAATCGAATCTTTATGCAGAATGACGTATCGACACGATCCAGTCAAGGTCTAGATTGAAAGCGTGTTTCTCGCAGTTTGTGCAGTTCTTTCGTTGGAAACAGTTTCGTTTGAAATGTTACGGTCGATTGTATATATATACGTTCTACTATTTTCTGTGACAAAGATAATATTTGCCCAATCTTCGTGTTCTTGTACGTATTTCTTAGATATTTTTACAAATGTTGAGAATACGTATTAATATTGTGCGCATACTGTTCTCTAGGTAATCAAACAGATTTAAATTTCGCGACTGGTATCAACCTGCTCTATTATAAATGGTTTGTATCTACAATAAAACGTACAAATAATTATTAACAATAATAATTAATGTAAGCACGCGCTTCTCAGTAATAGTGAAATTCCTGCAACAATCGCCTATCCCATCACAGTGCCACAGATGTTACTCAATGTGTTGGATGATGACAAACGGATAATTTTTTACATTTTTGGATATTTACAATATCCGGAGGATTTAAATGTTCAGCTAATGATGGAAGGTATAATATATATCAGAGAGGGACAAGTAGATTATGAAATCAGCAAGAAATGATTAATATATATTTACATCACTAGCACTTTGTTATGGAAGAACGGATAATGTTGTGCTACTTGATTGGAGTAAATATTCTAAAGGCTCTTACTCGGTCGCTTTTAGAAATGCTGAAAAAATAGGAAATTTATTTGCACAAAGTATACAACTGCTTGTGGATAGTGGCCTAGATGTATCGAGAATTTATATTGTCGCGCATTCGTTGGGTGCTCACATAGCTGGCTTTGTCGGTAAATGCAATGTCTTCAAGATACCTCGCATTACAGGTATACAATTAAATTATCTTTAATACGCATATGTTTTATTTTTATTTTTAATAGTTTTTTTTGTTATTTTAAATATAATTGATTATTAAGTAACAAATATATTTATTTTCTACTTACCTCCATTTTTCATATTAGCGAGAGGTTGGCAAGAAATCTGCTTGTAAGAAATTTATAATTTTATACGATACGTAACTTGTAGATTGTAAAAAATTTGTTGATTCTAAAAAACGTTCTTTAGTGTAAAATTATCGTCTATAGCATTGGATCCTGCGAATCCTCTTTTTTATCTTCCCGGATGTTATCTTACACGTAACGACGCGGAATGGGTCGATGTTATCCACACGGACAAGGGTGGATATGGCACCCCAACATCTATGGGTACAGCAGACTATTATGTGAACGGTGGAACTCGTCCTCAACCTGGTTGCCACTTTATTGGTCTACCATTAAGTGATATCGGTAATAATAATTAATATAATTTAATTAGTATTGTCATTTCGTTGCAGTATATTAATAACTAATTCAATAAATTAATCATTAAATAATTAATAATCATTGCGTGATACGTTATAGGTAATTATTAATATTAAAAAATTTTAACTAAATTGAAAATTGCAAAGATAGTTTTTATATATATATTTACTATAGTTATTTTTATAGAATTTGGGAAATTATTGATAATTATTTAAAATAATTACACTTGATATACAATTGCAAAAAATTAATTTATTAACGCTTTGTTCTAATTATTCTTTTTATATGATTACTAGATCTCTGTAGTCATCAAAAATCAGTCGTGCTATATGCAAAATTGAAACGTCATTCTACCAAATTTATTGCGAAGGAGTGTTCTTCCTATTTTAGTCATATATTCAATAGTTGCAATAAGACTCGGAATATTGAGGTTGGATATACAGCAAAAAATATGTAAGATAATACTTAACATTTTACTCAATTATTTTTGATAAGTAGACAAATTCACAATTATTTTTATAGAGTAATAAAAAATATTAACTTTGAATTTTTTTTGCAGACGCGGATCATTTATTTTTGATGTAGATACTATATAGAACGATTATGTGTATTGTATTTAATATATTGACAAAGATTTATGTTAGTATGATAAAAATATACTAATTCTTGTTCTATAATTGTTACATGTACTAAGTGTCTCAGATTTACCGACTTTATTTTACAAATTATCTGATAACATTACCTAACATTATTTTGCTATACAAATGTAAATAGTCATTTTCAACGTGCTTTTGATTCTACTGAATACGAATCTAGTAACATAATTTAGCCAGCACATCATAATTTTGAGATAAATGTCAAGAAGTCAAAAAAGTAATGATTTTTTTTTTATATTGCAGCATCGAAAGCAAATTTTTTTTCTGAGGACTTTAAATTGATAAATATTTATTAAATTTAAAAAAATGATACTTAAATTTAAATATTATTTTTTTAAATCAAATGTTTATTTACTGTAAGCAAAATGGTATTATTGATACCATCTGAACAAATATTTATTAAAATTTTGTACTCTTTTTCAGTATAACGGAAATATATCAAAGTTTATTTTTCAGAGTTCAATCAAGTCAAACATTAATATTGAGTGGAGTTTATACATTCAACGTTGTAATTACGCGTATATGCCACATGCAATATACATTCTAATTATTCTAACTTTCACAGCTGAACATACAAGTACTTGTAAACTGATTTTTATTACCAAACAGGTATCTTTTAGTTATATGTCACTGTTGCGTAAATCGGTAAAACAATAATTATTTCCGTATGTCATTATTGCGTAGGTCGATAAAGCAATAATTATAAATTAAAACAAGATTAAATTGTTTTTGCTCTTTTTATTGGATATCTGACATGATTAATTAATACTTTTAAAAAATTTGAGATATTTTAGTACTTGATTCTATTGATACATAGTAGTATTTTAAGTAAGAAATGTGAAATATACTGTAATAATAAAATAGTAATGTAAGCATAAATAAAAGAAAGTTAATTGTCTTGTTCAAATTGATTGATACTAAATTCGTTTTGAAAGAATAAAATTATTTACACAATTTTAAAAATTTTTATAAAATTAGCGAACAATAAAGAAAGAGAATAAGATTGTCAATTTAGCTTAGCTGCACAAAAAAATTCAATCAATAAAAAGATACAAACACGTAGGTGAATATATTTGTAATAGTACGATCATGAGATAGCCGTAAGCATTGAGGCTACTACGAGAATCCCTCATGTTTATGTTAATAACAGGTCTTAAGCTAGATTATAAAATAGAATGATAGTACTTCAGCGATCGACACTTAGATCTTCAGCGACAGACACTTAAACTAACATACTTGAGTTTCTTTGAATAAAACCATTCGACAGTTTCAACTTATTATTTCCAGTGCTTGCTGCACTCTATGTAATTAAAAGTACGAAGAAAGATAGCACAAGCTATACAATAAATTAATATAATTTTCCGAAAAGAGTATATCAATATTTACTGTATAAATGCTTATTGATATTTTATCCACAATTTTTATCGAGGATCATTTATAAGTAATTACTAAACTGTGTACATTTAGTTGTATATTTAACGGAGCAGGATATTATGAGCCATATGTGCGAATTATTAATCCGTTATTATTAGTATAATTACTCTCCTCGTTATGCGCAATTTCTCAGCCGGTCGCTAAATCCACAGTCGCATACGCAATGCGTCGCATAAACATACTCAACGTTCTCAGCACGAGGTATCGTTACTAATCCCGGCTTAATGAGAGCCCTAACGGGAGACTTTGATTACTAGCGATAAGCGAGCGATGCGTATTAGAATCAAGTAAATCCATAAAATAAGTGGCTGAACCATGTGTTGGAGATAATTTACAGAGTTACAGAGCAACAAAGCGCATTTTTTGCACGATTTTTGTGCGATTGTATTTTTATTACATAATATGTCACTTGAAAATGCATCAAAATGTAAATAAGTACTTACTGCTGCTTTGATCGTTTCATTGATATATGTAAAAATTTCATTTGAGATATCATCGTAGATTTCAAAAATCATTCACAAACTAACTTTTCTTTTAATAATAAAATTAAATAATAAATAAAAATTAAATAAAAAAAATAGTGCCGCTGCATATAAAAAAATTAGCTAGTATATTAAATTATTAATTTATTATTATTGAATAATAAATTATCGTAGAATGCTGTAATCATAGTAATGTAGTATAGCATAAAATTTTCATCATCAATATAAAGGTAATAAAATTAATTACTTTTTAATTTTTAATTTAATTGGATTAAAATTAAAAATTATTAATTTGAGCTCATTGATGTATTGACAAAAATAAGAAAATATGTAGTACGATATGTATAATAATTTAAAAATGGAAAGAAACTTAAAATATACTATTAGATATCAAAGAAGCAATAGTAATCCAATCTCTTGTTAAGTTATATAATTTTATTATTTTTAACCTTTATGTATTTCAAAATATAAATCAATCCATTTCAGTGATTAGTTCCAAAATAAACAATACATATATCCATATTTATTTTAACATATATGCACTTAGGAATTAATAATAAACTAAACTTAAGTTAGATTTAATATATTTTCTAGAGATAAATTATTTACTCTATTTTAACGACTTATTGAATAGAAAAAGTGATAATCTATAAAAAAGATTCAAAATTATTCAAATTAAGTACAATTTAACATTATAAATTTAACAGTATATATATATATATATATATAAAGTCTAAATTCTAGACTTAATCACAATAATTTTCATATAAAATAAAAGTACATCAACAATTTTTAGAAGACGCATTTATGTGTGTAGGAGAATACCAGTTAAATTTCTCTGAATATTTTCCGACATTGAAAACAAATAGCATGTCTACTATCTTATCTGCTGCGATTAAATCATTCATGTTGCCTTTGTTTCGGATTCATAAATGGCACTTCCGCCCACGTTCCGCAGATCTGAGAGGAACTATGGACCAATTTGGTCGATTGACGCACGAGTGGCCAATTATAATTTCATATCGAACGTTGGCCGTCATGAATAATAGATACAGATTGTTTCCAACCCCGATACTCGTCGGCCGAACCTCCTATCATGAATGTTCGCTCGCATTCCGTAGATTTCTTGCATCCTCAAAAGGTATTCTGTAAACATAACTGAATTTGCATTTATTATTTACAAGTACATTCTTTTATGGAGTTGCGCATTAATCAAAATGCATATATAAGTTAAAATTGTGGAATCAAAGACGTTGATGTTTAATGATGTTTAAATGATCATGTTAAAGAAATCCTTGACGTGACAATCTCATATTTGCCATTCGTTTCGTGTCCAATCAACCAATGTGTGTACCAATTATTCACTTAATACAAAAATGAGAAGCACATAACTCGACTCTCTTTTTTATTCTTTCTTTTTTCTTCTCTCTCTCTCTCTCTCTCTCTCTCTCTCTCTCTTTCTCTCTCTTTCTTTCTCTCTGTTTCTCTGTCTCTGTTTTTCTTTTATTATACTTACGAACTTCTCTTTTCGTATTCGTCTGAACTGCCGCCCCGTGCCGATTCTCGCCGAGAGCGTCGCGTGCAGTGGCACGTTAACTGCATCGTTGTAAAGCAGATTTCATTTAAAGAGGCACAACGGAGGCGGAAAGGCCATAAGAAAAAGAAAAAGGTACACGGAGAACGTATGTGGTCTTGCTATGTAATTTTCATTCGCACTCGTGGCTACGCTTAACTGCGACCGGAGCGAAATAACGCTTAATGGAATACCTATATAGGGCGATTCACGGTGAAGTCGAGAAACTATGCAAATCTCGTGTAAAGATGAAGAAAACATAAGTGAATGTATAATTTCAAATTTAAATGGAACTAGATTATTTAAATACAATAAAATTTTTTAGATATACATAAGATCTTTATTCAACACAAAAATTGATAAAAGTAGTAATTAATTTTTAGATGATTTTTAATATTGTAGATCTTTTAAATTGATGACGAGGTAATGATGGATTTATAGAGATATATTGTTAGAACTCTTAAACTGAGAATCTCCTAATTCTCCAATTTATTTATCTTTTTAGTAATAATAGAGCAACATATTTTCATCAATTAAAAATGTTTATAATTAATCATCGTAAAGGATTTAAGCATTGTTTAATATTCGATAATCTGATTTTTGAAACGTTTGAAATCTTATTTTTCAAACGTCTGCTAACTATATACTTGTTTTAATCGTAAATGAGATTAGTAACATTTAATCGTTTCTTTCGATTTATTTTTCTTGATTTGTTACTCTAACTCAGTTTAAAGCAAAATTTTTCGATCCAGCCGTGTATCGTCCTGTAGGAAGATTCGACCAATCAAAGTATCGGCGAACGAAGGCGGTACGGTCTCAAGTTGGGAGTTGCGACTGGATATTCTTTTCGTCTTTAGTATCATTGGCAGTAAATTAAAAGCCGGCTTTTAAAGATCGAGAGCGATGCGTTGTGCACGCAAACGAATTCTAAATCGATGAAGTGCACTTGATGAACGAATGCGCGAAATGCTTGCTACGCGGCATCGTTATTCTCCACCATGCTAAATGTGGCTGTCCAATCCTTGTTAACCCCGAACTCTCATCTCCGTTTCCATCGAATAAAATCATATTTAGTAATTTAAGTTAAATACGAGCAGTTAAATGAAGATAGATAGCATTATTAGGCTTAACGCTAGCTAATGTAAAGCGACAAAATATTTTAAAGACGTCTTACTTAATTTTAATCTAATAATTTCTAACCTTTTTATTATTTTTTACCAAATATTATATGTAGTTATTGCTAACTAATATAAAGTATATTTTATATGTGAAAACTATAAAAAAACGATTTTTATCTATCTTTGATAATTATTTCGATTTATCCAAAAATTGTCTTAATTATAAGAAATAATTACGCTAATTGCGCGCGCACACAAAATTCTAAATTTTATAATAATTTATGAATCGTCCCAATGATATAGATTTATTGCTTTATTATATAAAAGAAATTTAATAGTTCGGTGACTATAA